GGCATCACTTGGGCAGGGGCTGGTGGCCCTGGGGGCCGAAATGGGGCCCTGGGCAGGGTGGGATGAGGCCAGGCAGGCCTGGCACTCTTCTGCAGACAGGGCAAGTCACTTTATCCTTTTTTGCTTCGTTTCTGCTTTGTAGAGTAGTCAAAACCGAGCTTTCTCCTATCTACCAAAACTACAAATACTGCACGGCAAGAAAACTTTTCTTGCCACACAGCCCAAGGCTCAACAGAAGATCCGCAGATGCTGTAGCAGAACAGTTGTTCATAACATGCTTGCCAAGAAAACTCCATTACTCACTCTGATCAGTCATCAAAGCTTCCGTCTATCCTTATCTGAACACCAACAGGGAACTCAGAGCTCTCCAAAAACTTCACAATCACTGACATCTCACTCGTCGCAACTCTTGGTAATACCCTGCATCTTTCTTGCTTCTATTTTCATGTATCCGCCCTCAGTAAGTTGCTAGCGAGATAGGTGCAAGGCTCTCTTTCAGTCTGACAAAAGTGAACCAGCTCCTCAGGTTTCATTTCCAAGGAAATTCTAATTTCAACAAAACACCAAGAAAAAACATTTGATTCCACTTTGGGAAGAGGTGGGGGTAGGAAAGGGGGGGGGAAGAAAGAGCCACAGTTATCTTCACACCAGAGGACATTTGCTCTCACTTAGCACCTCTCACATGTGCGTATCAGAGCACCTTCACAAACTAGGTGAAGGTGCTAAACTAGGTTAACAAGGAAAAAAAAAATGCTTTTCAACCAGCTCTGAAAGCAAGCTCCTAGTTGAAAAAAGAAAGCAAAAAAAAAGTGGGATGTTATTCCAGAAGACACATTCCTAAAGCACCAAGCTGGCTGGGACTCCAACATGAAGCCAACATCTCCCTCCAAGTTAATTCCTGCCTACCTTCCAGCTTGAGTTGGCTGGTTTAGCAAGCACTATGCATCTCTCAAAATAGCGACGGTTAGAGAAAGCTGTGGGAAGAATCAGCAAGCAGCAGCATCACCTGCAGATGCTCTTCCTTAGTCCGCTGCTGCTCTCCGGAGGAGGGGCAGTTGTTCAGCCCCTGATCACTGTCCAGTCACCTGAAGACCTGACATAGACCCAGCTTCACTGCTGCAAGTAAAGCAGTGCCTGGAGAAGTGGTCTTCTATAGCAGATGCTACCGCTCCTTTCTAATGAAGGGTGATACCACCCAATCTGTTCACAATATTGATGTGAAGGTTTTAAACCCAAGCTTACCGGTTCTTCTGAGGGCTGCAGATAGGAGCAGGGCTGCTCTCACTCCACCCCGTCATTTGGATTCCTCAAGTCAAGAGCAAGCAGCAATGCTGTGGGTTAAACCCAGTAGGCAGCCAGACACCGCACAGCTGCTCGCTCACACCTTCCCTCCCAGCGGGTTGGGGAAGACAATCGGAAGGGCGAAAGTGAGAAAACTCATGGGTTGAGATAGACACAAAAAAGACAAAACGAAGAAAAACAAGAAATGCAAAAAGCAATTGCTCACCACCAGTTGACCAATGCCCGTCCCCACGCGACCCCAACCCCTGGCAAACAACCCCCTAGGTTTAGTGCTGAGCGTGGCGTTGGACGGTACGGGCTATGCCTGTGGCCAGTCTGCTGTCCCGGCCACGCTCCCTCCCAGCCTCTTGTCCACCCTCAACATACTTGCTGGGGAGGGTGCAGCGTGGTGAACAGAAAGCCTTGACGCTGTGCAAGCACTGTTCAGCAGTAACGAAGACATGCCTGTGTTAACATTGTTTTCGTCACAAAACCAAAACACAGCACCACACTGCTATGAAGAAAACTAACTCTATCCCAGCCAAAACCAGTACAAGCAAGTTGCATTAGCTCCTATCCCCAAACAGCTAGTCTCAGAGTAGAGATAAATTCCTGACAAAGCAATGTTTGTTTCAGCCACAAAGAATCTCAAATGACTGTTTGTCGCCCCACATTTCAAAGTCCCATTCGAGTAAAGAGTACGGTATCTTGCATTAACGGTGCCTATTTCAGCAGAACCTTCAACGATTCTCCCACAATCAAAACTGTCTTGTTACGATGTCGTGACTAAAGGGGTAAAAGTCATTAACTAACAAGGTACCTTTGTATGATTTTCAGCCATTCTGAACCCAGCAAGGAATACAAATCAACTTAAGCTGTAGGCACGCAGCTCCTCGAAGGTGCTTTGTGCACTAATGATTTGAATTTTTGTGGTTTAGTTTTCCTTTCCTTACACACTCTAATAATTCCCTGAAGTTTCTCTTATGTTTATATGATCCTTTTTTACCTCTGAGAAATATATGAGGTACGATGTTCCAAATGACAATGGATTTGCACACACTTATCCCTTTTCTTACACTGGAAAGAATAACAATCAAACCAATTTAAGTGTACAACTTTGTACAGGTTAAATTTATCCAGCTGGACCAATTAAGGAAACCTAAATCCCAATTAGTAACAGATAAAAACATGTTTGCCATTTCTGGAACAATAATTAGAGAAGAATTAAAGTTTCTAGATGAGAAAGCTCTTCCTCTACACTAATGAAACACACTAGAAGAAATTGTGACCTTTTAAACAGCTAGAAATGAAAAGATGGCATTAATACTTCCATAGAAGCTACAAAAAAAACCCCCAAACCAATCACGAACAGCTACTTTAATGTGCTACTTCAGAGAGTACTTCCATGCTGAATACTTACGCTGAAAACAACTTCTTGTGCCAGATCCAAGACCTTCTGAAGTTATTAATATTCTGCCATCAGCCTCAAAGGGAACAAGATTTGCCTTGCAAAATAATCAAGAGAGCTGCAACTATTTACAAGTGACTTAATTTATGGCAGCTTTGGTTGCAACAGCTACAGAATTTAGAAAGACAACTGTATAAGTAAAGTGTTCTGGTAAGCACCCAATTCAAACACTTCAAATATAAAGATAATTAACCCTTCAAATTTTAAATAATCAGGTTGTAATATTCTATACAAAAAATGTTCCTCTGAGGAGAATGGGGGTGTCCACCTTTAATATGTATTCAGCATACACATTTAACTATTACACATATAAAAAGGCAATAAATTTTATACCGAAATTTATTGTGCAAGAATGATTTTCATGCTCATTTACAATGAAATAATTACTTTTAACAAATAATCATGACATTGCTTAATTTCAACACTAAGCAGAATATTTACATTCAAGTTTACATGTTTGTTCAAGTTCCATGTATGGTGTTGTCAGAATTAAGTAAGAATGCATCTTCAGATCAAAGTTTGTATTTTTTACGTTAAAATATCACTGCCTTTCAGACATTTACTGGAAATGACAAATTTCCTTTCTTTGCAGTACCCTCATTTCCCAGCTGGGAAAAAAAAACTGGGGGAAAAAAAAACCAAACCCAACTTGCAGAAATCAGCATCACAAACGTACAATTAGCCAGGCATTTCCAACTTGTTAAATGGAAAGGAGGCTGGAGTATACCTCTGTATAACTGACTGCCAGAGGACTGTTTATGTCATCCTTGCAAGAGATCATGCCTTAAGAAAATGAGTCTCAGGACAATTCTTCCATAGAATCTTATACAAAAAAAGAATCTTATACAAAAAAAGATCTGTTTTGTCAATATTGAAGTGAATATCTTATAATAGCACCTAACACACTTTGGAGCTTTTTGTTCTTTTTTGTTTTTAACCATAGGGATGACTAGAACAAGCATCATGGTCTGGCACTTTTTTAAAAACAAAACCAAAAAACAAAAAAAACCCAAAACACCCCACCCAAAACATATGCTGTATAGTAGTAATTTTAAAAAAATAAATCAGCAGTTCACAAATAGTTGAAAAATATTTTTAGTGTGCAGAAATTCAAACTGTGGCTTTTTGGTGCTGTTGCTTCTTCTTCACACTCTATGATCTAAGACAAGTTCAGACTTCAGCCCACGTTTTCTTAGCCTGCGCACAAATCTCTTGCTCCTTCGGCAAAGGTTGCTAATACAGGCTTCTCAGTTATCTCCCACCCACCTCGACTCCCCTTTTATTTTTTGAACTGAGCTGAGAATCAGCTAATACAACATGCAAACTCAGACATGGTTCTGAATTATAACTTGTTATAGTCCTGTTAAACAAGTGAAAACATACAACAGAATTTTTGTTTAGTTTCACAGTTCCATGTGATGCCTACTATTTTAATCATACTTTCGTAACAGTGCTTCATCTTCTGTCTAGGTTTCACAGGGGCCTGCAATTATAACAAAAGAATCAGCGCACACTTGCCAATACGCTGCCCTATTACATAAAGGACAAAATATAGTGATTGTCTTGGATTTTGGCTATTAATGTTACGGGGAGATACTGATTTTGAAGATGCAAACCTAAACATTCCCACATTTTAAACAATCTTTATATTTGGCAGAGACTATTTCACTTTTTCTGTCTTCACGTTGTGACATCTCCTCCAGAACTTGTGGGTTGAGAAACAACCGTAGAAGGTTGTACTGGTAACATTTCTAACTCAGATTCACGTACAAAGATGACTGCATCTCCACTTACATTTATTAAACACTGGGCCTGAAAAAAAAAGGACAATACGCAGTTACCAAACATTAAAGAATTACATATTTTATGTTTACTTATATCTGCAGATAATAGAGAAGTCGACAGAGATTAGAGAAGGACAAATTATTGGCATGTATTAGTGAGGCAATCCTGCCGTACTTCCTTTATATCTACTCACTTGTGTGCTATCAAACATGTGGACAGATTCTTGTAAGACCACCACAAATGAAGTATCTGGGTAGCTGTACTTCCTTTCACTACTGTTTCGAACATATTTCATGTACCAAAATGACTATATTCAGTTGTCACCTGTACTAATAAAGGTTTGTCCCTTTATGTCCAAAATGGAGCATTTTATATCAGCAACTCCACGTAAAAAGGATGAAAATCCTAACATTGTAACATCAGAGAAGCTAAGTAAGTTCAGCACTACTATTCTACTGTTTCCTGCAATTTACTTCACTCTAGTGAACTTAGTAGTTCTACCCATTTGGGTATTTATGAAGCGTATCTGTAATTTCATGCTAACTCAGATGTTCAAGAATGCTCTTGGCTTCTTTGAACAGGCATTATGATGAGAGATCCAGAAGTATTATGCAGACAGCTGGCTCTACAGCGTTCTTGTTTTTTAAATACATGAAATGTGTATTTGTGTCGTACTAACCACAATAGCATTGTTATTTCATATAATAATTTACCTGATTTTTGTTTGGATTCTCCATAAAAACACACTGCTTCATTATGTATGAGACAACAGCATTCCCCCCTAAAGCTGCAACATGAGCTCTCACCATTGCAAACACTTCAGCAATAAAAGCATGGAGAAAACCACTGACACCACCCTCCTAAAATAGGGAAAAAAAAATACATTTTATGTTAGGTATTGCTACAAGATGCTGAATACTTTTCTTACATTTTTACCAGCTGAATATTTCAGTGAATCCTAAATGGTATATTGAACAGAACTTAAAAGCTATTCACTGTTTAATGGGTTACAGTTAAAAATCAGACCAATGGAACTTACTGTTTTAGGAAAAGAATCAGAAGTAGGTTATTCATTTGTGACCAGTATTCTTTGTAGTCAGTATATTACATATACTCATACTTTTCAAACATTCCTACACCTCTGCAGAAACATGTAATATTCCACTGACAGCTGCATAACGGGTTTTTCTTTCATCAGGAAGGATACTACCCATCTTTTTGAAAACTGGGAAGCAGATAAAGAGTAATTTCTATTGAGGATTAAAAGAGATTTAGACTTCTTGGAAATTACTGGTAAGGAGTGGCCATTACCTTTGGTCACTACAACTTCACGTATGCTAATGACTGTTATTATTTCTCAACATTCACTAAAGAAAAGATCCCTCAAAATACAAAGTAAGCAAGGGACACAGCACAGACTTGACAAGCAAGCTATTGAAGCTTTTTTTCCCCTGTAGCCAAAAGAACTTCTGGCCATCCCCTTTAGTGAAGTTTTTTGACTTGATGGTGCTCATGGGGGATTTTTTACTTCTTTGGTGCCGAGCTAAATAATTTTAATTGCTGTGAAAGGAAGAGAAGGAAAACAATGATGTATGGTTCTCTTCTAGATAATCCTTATGAAAGAATGTCAGCAACTACATTGGAGGAGGGAAAACCCAACACACAAAAACCAAGCAACCAACCAAAAAAAAAAATCCACAGAAAAAAACTAAGGAAAGAAACTGATGAAACAGAGCTCACTATTGGTTAAAAATATCTATAAAATTTCAAAATGAAAGTGAAAGGCAAGACCACTAGACTTCCCACATACGCGTGTGCGCCACTGAAGAAAATGAAAGAGGTAGGTAGAAGAAGAGGCTAACTAAGCTGAACTTCAACAAACTGCAACAACATGGACTGCCCTCCTATCTACTGGAAAAAGTATAATCTATCCTGATCAGACTCATTAACACTTTAGGAAACCTATCTTGGATGAAAATTAACAAACAAAAGGCAAGTATAATTTCACCAATCCAAGCATAAAGCATGAACGAAGTCAACTGCAGCCAAAAATCAAAATTTCAATACAGGTTTGTCATTCCTCATAAAATTCTGATTTTGTCCAAGTGTTTTAATAGTTACAGCAACTGATGGGAAAAAAAAATCTGTAATATCATAAACCTAATACAAAATTTGATGACAACAGATAACAAAAGATTATAAATATCCACCTGTAAACGGCAAAAACTAAAAGCAATGGATAAACTGGACTTTAAATTACCATTAATTTTTGAAGCACAGTGTCTGGTATATACTTCAGCTTATGAAAGCATTCATAGGGCCTCAATATTCTGTAAACTACCATAAGCAAAATATAAAGCAATACAAACACAAATGCTCCCAATTATTTTTCTGTAGAATCTGAAACACTTGCTCAAGTTGGATATAATGACCACTCTGTTTTGACCATGTTACAGCCTCCGGGCAATACTCTGCGACTAGTATTAAAACCGGTTTGTGACTCAGCCTGTGCAGCTGAAATAGATTTAAATTAGCTACCCTGGGTGCTGGAAATAGCACACTGATAGTATCACAGAAACTGTACAACCGTCCCAACTTCATGGAGGAGTTGAATCAAATATTTGAGCAACCTACCGCTGCTGAGATCAGCTGTCATAGTTACCAAAGCTTGCTTACCAGCTATTTAATTTGTATCTACAGAAGCTGCAGTTAGTACAGAAATGTCATGTAACCATTTCCTGGTCATACCATATACATCCTTTTGAAAATGCTGTCCTTTTCACATAGATTTCTCAAGTTAAAAGGGGCCGTGACTTGCGAGATCCAAACAAGATGTTTGTCTGATCAAAGTTTCTCTAGAGAGCTCGCAACTCATTTTTATGAAGGCTGATAATTTTTATTAGCATCTGCTATGTAATTTTATCAATGTGTAATTAGCAAGAAGCAGCATACTCTTCAGCACTGACAAACCAGGCAAGAGGTACACTCTACTTCTCTGGATGGAAATTGTAGCAGAAGGATGCAGCTACTTCCCAAAAGGACATGAAAATGACAACAAACATGTCTTGCATTTTTGCATTTTCAGAGGAGTATCGGTTGTCCAGATCCAGACTGGAGATCATTGTTTGAGTATCACTAGCTACATCCTCTAAGCGGCTTGTGTGGTTACATACTCTACGGCATGCTTTTTAGAAGTTCATCACACAGAGCTATGTTACTGAGAATGCACAGAAAGTTATATTAAAAATCAGCATAATGTTATATATGATATGGGAAACGTTGTATTAACCAAACAATTCTAAAATCCAAATACACTGTGAAAGTTCATCATTGAGCTTGCTAAATGAGAGAAGAATGGATTTTTTTTTTTTTTTTTTTTTTTTGGCATTTAAATTAATCTCAGTTTTGGGTTCAAATGATCCCAACCACCATTGTTGGTCAAAGACCTATTTTTTCCAAATAGTTCTGTTTAAGAACATACTGGTTTAGTGTTATATCCAAATTCAACAACAATGGCAATGATTAAGGAACCCCTTCCTAACATTGCCAAACACAAAGCAGCTCTATATGCTCTATGACAAAAGCAGTGCAATGCAACTTACTCCCCATTCAGCACCTACCCTCAAGTGATAAAAATTCTATTCCCTTGCTGTGCCATACCTCAACTCAAACCTGTTCAGATATCTACCTTTGATTATTATAATTAACAAAAAGTGCTAATTCCTGATACACAGCTCACCTCACGCAAAGAAGTGGTTTCTCGTATAAAAAACATGTTGATTATCCCAAGATATTTGGTTATTTTTGCCCCAGGTAGAAAAGAAAGAGGTGTCATCTTAACAACTGAGACGGTAGAATTGGTGCATGATGGAACGGAACGGTGCCGTAAGTATCCCTCAGCCAATGGACTTGCTTTATCAAGAGAAGCAGCTAAAAAGATGGGAAAAAAGAAGAGAAAGTAACTATCAAGTAAGATTGATTACTGTTTCTCAAAACACAAAAACTCTTCTTTATGGTTTCCAAATAGCTTGGTGACAACATTCAGCTGCCTGTGATGCTCAGCCATATCATGTGAGAAAGGAAATTATCATGCAATGCATGCAAAAGGAGACAAAAAGCTGTCATTCCATTCCTGCAAAGGAAAACATTGAGGCGAGTAGCTGCACATACAACAATCAGTTATAAAGTGAAGGTAAAGAAAAAAGTGCCAACATTTTGAAATACATATTCTGCTGGAGGAACAAATTATAGGAAGTGTGAAAGTTGTTGTGTTTCCCCAGTGCAGCATTTTCCATTAAAACAGATATTAATCTCTGCTGATTTAAGCAATTCCTGCAAAGGAAAACATTGAGGCGAGTAGCTGCACATACAACAATCAGTTATAAAGTGAAGGTAAAGAAAAAAGTGCCAACATTTTGAAATACATATTCTGCTGGAGGAACAAATTATAGGAAGTGTGAAAGTTGTTGTGTTTCCCCAGTGCAGCATTTTCCATTAAAACAGATATTAATCTCTGCTGATTTAAGCAAGATAGTCAGACCTGCGGCCAGAGAACTACTGAAAAATAACTCACCACTTGCTAATTTAGTGACCATTGCCTTGACTGTCACCTTGGTGATTGCTTCCTGTTTCTCACCAAAAATTTTCCAAGATCATATATACACCTACATCCATGCAGTGTATGTTACATAATTAGTAGGCGTACACATTTATTGGTAACTAATTTTTACTAAGTGAACAGAAATACTGGATTTTGCTTTTTATGATACTGGTTCATAAACCCTGTATTAGCTTACAAAGACATTAACAATGTCGGCAGTTTTCACACTCAGGTATTCATTCTACATGTGATCTGCAATACTATTGCTAGGCAGGAAACTCCACTATTCACCACTGGGAAATCAGAGATATGTCTCAGATTATCATAACGTGGTAGAAACAGCCGCCTACTTGTCTTAATTGATCCGCGCCTTATGGTCTGAGCTTTCAGTTTAATGAGCTCTATCCAGCTGTTGCATCTGTCTGCAAAGGAACTGTAATCAATTGACGTTGCTGAAAACACAGACAGAAAAACAAAAGAAAAAACAAAGAAAAAAAAATATGGATGATGTCTCTTGCTCATCTCAATGCTCCGTTTGAGGAAGCAATTATCTGTGTCTGAGAGAGAACAAACATCCCTTTCCAGGTCTGTTTAAAGGAAAAGTTACAGTATAGGTTTGGACTTGTCCAAACCAGTGTACCGATTTCTGGTGATGTCCCAGCTGTGAACCAACTGCCTGACTGGGACTTCATCACTGAAAAAACATGCAAATACAGTCATTAACGTCTTACGCTAGATTATTTTTTTTTAATCTCATTTTAGGTATTAAGTTCTGGCTTCTTTAAGTTTATTTAAGCCTTGTTTAATTTTAATTTTCATTGCTATTCTTTTCCTCACGAAGAGCTGATGATCATGATTTAAACTTCCTAATGATCTTTATCAATATCTAACCTACAGACTGAAAAAAAGCTTTGGTGATGAGGATAAGAGTCACAAGCTGAAACAACACCTCGGTTTTAAACACAAATGAATTTTCCTTACAAAACGTTGTCCTTCCCCCAACATCCTCCCTCCAATACCACCCCTCACCCCCCCATTATCATTACAATGAGAAGTAGAGTTGTTTCTGCTATGACTTTTGGTATTAGTTGCAGGGGTGTTTGCGTATCTTTAAAAAAAAAAAAAAGTTCTGCAAACACCGTTTCTTCATTATTCTGAAGAAACGGAAAGAATACATGCTAATTTCAAATTAAGACAAGCAAAAAAGCTCTCTCTCAGGGAACTAATTTTCTGTCAGATAAAGTGATATCAATATATCTGACAGAGAGACACTATTATTATTAACAAATCTGACTTTTGTAATTAAAAAACACATCAAAATATTATGGTATCATTAAGCCACACCAGAGCATGCATTCTCAGTTAACCAGTAAACACTTCCTGGATTAAGACACATCCAAAAAGAGTATACCAATATCCCAAGAATGCTCATTCTGTTCTGGCATATGGTAAATTAAGTAAACTCACCTCTCTGAGCAGCGGGAATACCTGTGTGGGAACTTGCACCCTCCAGGACTTCTAATAAGACAAAATGAATTCCATTCAGATAATATATGAGCAGAGTCATGTAGTACAGGACAACAGCTTTCTTCTTACAAAAAAAAATTTTAGAGTAAAATACGAGAAAAAAAATCTTCTATATATACTACACTATGTACTTTGATAGCACATAATAAGCTGGCATAAATAATTAATTTTACTAAGTGTCTTGCAAATTAGAATATGATCATTTACTAAAGGTCATTACTGTGTAAGGTTGTATACAAATATTTTTAAGATAACAATCTTACAGAAAAGTATGTAAAAAGGTATCAATATATTAAATAAGCTGCTAAGTAAATGTAACTACAATGAAACCTCGAGTCTACTTGCGAAAAAATGACAGATGAAGTAACTACCTAGTTGAAAGCCTCTAAAATGATGTACAGTACAATATGGAATGTGAAGAACGTCACGAAAAGTGATACACATGAACAGGCTACCCTCTACTGGTCAGTGCCTATTATACAAGTAGCACTGTCTAGTAACAGTGGAAAAGACACCAGTCAGAAATTTCTGGATAGCTCCTCTTTTTGAAAATGAAAGCTTAACAGTTTCATAATGTGACCAATTAAAGGTTAAGTACACACAAATACCTAAAAATAAAAAAAGATACAAAGCAATAAGAATATTATTGCTGAAATTAAACTGACCTCTGAAAATACAAGTAAATGGGGTAGGCACCCTCCTTTATAAACTTAGGTAATGGGCAAAAAAGAGAGCTCTTTAACATTTTAGTAAGAGAACATTTACAATAATTCACAGATACTAAATTTCCTATCACTAGCCATTTTGGTGGGTAGATAATCCAACAATAGAGAATGAAGTAAAGACAGCTGAATCAACAATGATGACCTAATTTTTAATACAGTTGTAGAACTGTGACAACCATTCTTGAAATGCAGCTCTATCTCAGGTAAAATAAAGCATCTGTGTAACAGCTAAAATGTGCTGCACTGTACAAATTGTTTACTATGCAAGTTTAGGCTCTTTTCACTTAAAAAAAAAATTGCATGCAATTTTGCTCAGCTGAACAACCAGTATTTGCTAGATAAAGTATTTCCCACCATGATAACTAAGAGATTAATTATTTGAGGCTGAGAATACATGGAGTTATTTTATATGGGCCATTTACAGAACCAAAGCAGTATGAGGCAAGCCTATTACGTAATTTATAATTCTTTAAGTCAAATGACACCCATCACCCAGTGGTTTGCAGCATTTTCAATATTCTAAATGCAAAGATGGAAGAAATCTATCTAGACAGGAAATCTACAAAAGAATATATACAGAACGATTAGCCAACCCATCTTATGTGACTCAAAAAATTTGACTTTAGGAGTGAACATATCCATTATGCTTAGGTAGCAAAGAATATTTAAAGCATGTGTAAGTACAGATATTTTAAAGCTACTGCAACAATGAAAGAGCAGAACTCAAAATCAGTAAAAAATAATAGTTCAACATTCTTCCATTTAACTGACCTTTAGCTGGTGAGAATGGTTGAGAAGCAAGGGGATCAGAGCAAAGTTCCAATGGAAATTGTAGCTGTTCTTCATTGTCTGTAGAAGCTTTAACAAAGAAAACAATTGATAATTAACCAGCAAAATAAGATTTGCCAGTAATAATAAGCACTACAGATTCAATTTAGTTAGGTCTGACCGGAACAGATTTTTTCAGCATATGCATATAGTGATGCAGTTCTGTATGAACAGTTAGATGTCTGACAATAAATCCAGCTGCAAAATTGAACAGAACCTGTGTTCCATTGAACGGGATTTGATTTAACATTTTCAGGAAAAAAATATTAAGCTATATATTACTAGCTATACGTTACAGTAAAAAGTAATGTGTTTTATTTCACATAAAAGAAAACAAACAATTTACTCTTACTATTTAAGTAGTAAGGTATAACTGATGTTTTAGAACCATATGGCTCTGTTCTACTACCTAATTGCATTCTTCAGAATGGAGTCTCTTCAAAGTTCTGTCTAAATTCCCATATCCAGATTGCATACATACATTTCTAGTGTAAGATGGTGCTTCATTAGCAAGATGACACACGCAGATTGCGGTAGTCTCTTCTATTCCCTCCACAATGCTATATGCTTCACTGATCTCCAAAAATATTACTTAAGGGTTTTTTGGAGCGTTTTTTAAGTATTATGAATAATTTATTTTCTGCCTTCTTGAAGTAAGGACAAAATTTGCTACTTATAAGAACAAGTATTCTCTAATGACTTACACTGCATGTTTCAAAATACAATAGAATGTCATCATCTGTTACACTAATTCTTTAGAGAAAAATATTCGAGGAAAGATGGTACATGGAATGAGGAAATACCAAACGTTTTTTTCATGTTACTGTAAGTTTGTTGATTACGTACAAGCAAATACCTAATACTTGGTAAGTAAGCCATCCTGCTGGAGGTCACATATATGAACTCTAAAAACCTCTATGTTATGACTTTATGATTTTATAGAACTTCCCCGTAAAAATATGTATATGTAACTGAAATTAAAATGTAGACTCACTAGGTACTGGGGAAAAAAAAAAAAGGAAAGAAAAAGATTATCTCTTATCTTTACATGCCTCACAACATTTACCTCTTTGCTGTGATTTTTCTGTAGGGGCTTTGTTGGCTTGTAATGCTTGGGTTTTGTCAAATGTAATTGCAACAGCTGTGACTGCAATCTGCAAATCAGAAATATATGGCATATTAGGTAAGTTAATCTCTCGTGTAATCCGCAAAAATAATTTTGCAAAAAAGCCAGCTTTTTCCATAGAAAAATAATAGGGGGAAAAAAATATACTCCAAGTAGACATATTAAAAACGCTTCACAGCAGAGCATAAAAGATAATACTAAGGTCCGCTGTTAGAACATACACCTGACAGTGTTTGTCCCACATTTATGATTTTGTTCATCAGTTCTTTCTTTCTTTCTTGGTGAACTGACATAAAAAAGAATCATAAAAACTCATTATCATTGTATTTGTAAGAGAAGGAGAGAGATGTTTAATTGATCACAAGAATGATGCTATACTCCTAAAAAACCCATTTTATTTAAAAATAATGAAGTATATTGCATCACCTTGAAACTGAAAGAAAAAAAAAAACAACAGACAATTACAATGACAGCATACTTAGAAAACTAGTGTGCCATATTCTTGTAGTGTATGTGGTAACACCTTTTAACGGATATCTAGTCAGGGCTTTTCGTTTCCTATCTAACTAAAAAGATACACACTATTAAGATGCACTGTGCTCATGAAATGCCATGTAGTCCCATGATTCTCAAAACTGGTGAACTTCATAGGTCATCCTTTTTCTTCACTGAAGATTATGGCCTAAAGTTTTACTTCAGAATTCCCCGGACATACTAGTAAATGAAATCCTAGCCTAGTTTACTCTGAGCAGCGAATGTTAATTAAAGGCCAAAACTGGCATGCCTACATGCTGAAAGTCAAAAGAAGCAGCTTACTTACCTGAACTAATTCATCCTCTGGTAGAGCAACTGTAAAATTTACATGACAAAGGCAGCAGGGAACCATAGATCGTAGTTTAAAATACAAGCTCTGTTGAAGATAAGACATTATTTGTGTTACTCTAAAAAATGTATGGTTTATTTCAGAGAAATTAAAGATCAAAACTCTTTTCATAGTAGAAATCATCTAATCATATTAATTTTTTCTTGAAGAAGAATTACAGGTGTGAAAAGTAAAGACAGAATGTAATCTATGTGTAGCTGAATGTGTAGCAGTCTTTATACTTCTGTTTCTACAGTACACTACCAAAGGACTCACTCTGATTCAAAAAGCTTTGGAAATCCCTAATATACTAAGAAGGATGAATCTATTTTTAAAGCAGCTTACAAACTAATTACAGACTCTTTGCAGTCTTATTCCGAGAAGTAATTACGAAGAAAATGTTATTTTCAATATAGCCTGATTTTACTTTGCTTTCAATTGAACAACTCAAAAAATGTTTGAAGTAAGACTCTTACCTTCAACAGATTCTCACAGAGATCATTAAAGTTCTTATTAAGTGTTTGATTTGTTAGGTTAATGTTGCTTAATCTGGATACTCTTACTGCTGTGAACATCTGAATTAGAAACAAACACATTTTTTTTTTCCCCCAATATATGGCTGTATGTTATATTAAAAACAAAACTAATTCATAAAGAAGGCAAATAATGCGTAACATGGTAAGAGGAGAGGGAGGGGTAGAGGGAGGGGGAGAGGAAGGGGGATGGAAAGAAAAGGAAAAAACTGTAGCAACACTAAGGCAAGTAAAGTGCTTATCGCTTATGAAATTTTACAAACACAAGGCAAGTTTTCTGTGAACTAATGTATATGAATACATGAAACAAGTGATTAAGCAAGATATTAAAAACTCTATGTTCTTTTTACTTGCCTCATAAAGGAGTCATTCTACCTGCTACATATTTTGTAACTGCTGTTGAAAATTTTATGTTAATTATGTACAATAATCTAGACAATAATGGAATGTCATACACAGATACACAGGCAATCCCACCAACCTGAGAGTATGCTGCTGGTGCAGTCATATTGTTTTCAGGTTTGAGCTATACTTCTGCAAAGCACAGTCTTGCAATGTGCCAATTAGGTGTAAAAGCTCACTTAGATAGATCTGTTTTAAATCTCTCTATATGAGACTGAATTGTGTTGCACAAACATGACCAAAACGTTTAAACTTAATTATAAATGGAATTTTTCTCTACTCTAGTAGAGATTGGCTTTATCTAGTTCTTATTTATCTTAACCTATTCTTTAGGTTAAGATATCCAGTAGCTTTATCTAGTTCTTATTTATCTTAACCTATTAATGTTATCATATTCAGTACCTCACACTAAGTAACAGTCAACAATGTTTCTTTTAAGAGACTTCAAAATCTAGCCAAGCTCATAAAAATGCCCAGAACCTTAACGTTCATATTTACTGTAATTATTTTCTAATTTCTGTATTTTTGTACCCGGTTTCTGTTACATAACAGCATCGAAAAAAACCACATAGAAACAGGTTCTCATACCCTATTTTTCTGACAAAAATACTACTTTTATTTCTAACCCAAGAGTATCTCTTTAATTTATCTTTCAAAATTAGTGATCTCTAATACATATTTAAATTACTACAGCATATTTCTACACAATTTGGGAAAAAAGTTTTAATTTTCTTTGAATAACCTTACTTGAATTTCCGGTGTCCAGTTGTTTATACCAGGCATAATTTCTGTGTTGCAACTGTAAAAACCTGTAAAGAAAATATTTGGGGAAATCTATGTTGCACATTGAAATATAAAAATACTTTTAAAGAAACATATGTGACCTTACTTTATGTTTTGCAAGTATTTTCCCTCATGTGTTTTTGAATATTGAATATTGAATATTGAATAATATACCAGAAATAAGACCAACACTGAAAAACCAAACGCCAGCATCTGAAGAATACAATATAACATACAAAAGAAACACTTGCAGTGAAAAAATGGATAGGAAAGATGGAACTCGCCACTTCTAAAAAACTAGTTCACTACAGAGTTCTTATTCTGAGTATTTCTTCAACCGCCAAAAAGCAAGGCCAGAAATACCATCATGTTGAGGAACATGAGGGAGGCTACAATGGCATGAAATGCAACAATGACAGTTGCTCCCCATGGAGACTGGGTAACTCATGTCATTTGATGCTAAGACTAATTGGTGACTGCTTCATGGAGCCACTCCTTGTGGAACCCACAAAACAAGAAACTCTTGACTAGTTGGTCCTGAGCAGGGAGAAGCATTCAAAGAAGTTTTTTAGCTCTGATCAAGATATACTTAAGCATTCCTGTACAAAGGGCAAACACCCAAAATCCACTACTGCCCTGCCTAGTTTCTAATACACAAACTACATACAAATGAGGAAACGTATTAAAAAGGTGTGATAGGAAAAGCTAAAAAGCTAACCTTTGGCAGACAGCATAGAGATGCTTTAAAGATACTACCTAGAGATTGAGTGCAAATATGTAGCACTTACTAACAGAGACTAGAAAAGAAAAAAAAAAAAAAAGAAAAAAGCATAACGACTAAATAGCAGGGTAAGGAAAGTAATAAACAGCAAATAGGCAATGTCGAAAATCTAAAGATACAGCTAAATGAGCACAAAAGAGAAAAATCTGGTAGGGCCTATGTAAATGCACAGAATAAGCTAGAAAAGAAATTGTGTAGCAGCTTGCGGAAGGTATAAATATTAATAGATTTTCTTTCAGAACATCAAAAGCAGAAATCTTGCTTAAGAGTCAAGTAAGATATAGAAAGAATATGCACGGATGATAACATGACAGTGGAAAACATGCAGTTTTTTACATCAATGTTCACCACGGTAGTGGAGCTTTCCACAACAATTGTTTATTTTCCATCAGAGAACCTGCCTTAAAAGTGTCTAAAGGAGATATTGGAACACATAGGCAAATGAAAAATAAGGATTCATATAAACAACAGGAAAGGCAAAAGATGAAATAGATGACTAATCGGCACTGAACTCTTAACTCAAAATTACCCCACTACCAGAGGAAAGAATTCTTTAATCTTCTGGTAGTGACTGGGACCTACTAATTTGCCTATTACAGGTATCTGTATTCCTGGCCTGTAGAAGCTCTTCCAGAAAATAGAGTTCATGGGCAGATGGAAAACAAGCCACTGCAGAGAAGCTGGTACCACTTTTCTAAGTAACAGTCATGGCTCACAAGCTGTCAACAAGCATGTAGACAAAAGACATCTGACTGATACAGTCTACTTCAGACATCAAAAAGCATTTCATAAGATCCTTCACCAAGGACTCTTTAAGAAACTAATATGCTGAAGGGTAGAATGGAGTACCATTGAAGGAAATACAATTATTATAAGACTGCAAAGAGAGGGTCAAAATAAATGCTCAATTTTCATAGTGGAGAGATCTGTAACTCAGGATTGTATGCTTCAAACGTATTCATAACTTATCTGCAAAAGAGGATAAAATGAGGTGACTGCTGGTGGCCTTATTTTAGGGTAGTAAAATCAATTGCAGCAGGACCTAACAATGGATAATCGATGAGGAATAAAAGATTTGGTGATAATAATAGATAACTATGACAAGGCTAATTCTGAGCTCAACAGTACTCAAAACGATAAACACTGATATCAATTATTAGGAAGGGAACAGATATGTGCTCAGGAAACATGGGGAAACTCATAAAAATAAGAGAGGGAGGACAAGGATGACCAAATGTACAGAGCAACTTCCATATAATGGACAACTACATTAGCCTCCTATCCAGATCCAGGAGTTCCATTGGAGGATATGACAGATACCTATACAACCACAAATAGCATAAAGACGACTGATAAAAAGCAATGATTCACTATTCTTCCTAAAAAAGGAAAAACCAAAGAAAGACAGTGGCTGATACAAAACAAGCATAAGAAGCTGGCTCTTACATGGGCGCAGATCCTGATGCAAAATTCTACGAACACTGAAGGCGCACATGGGCTCAAAATGCAAACAGCCAAATGCACAGAAAAGTTTGACAAAGGCTATTGTTTACAAAGACAGTAACTTACTTTCAGGATGCTGCTGAACTATGAACTTTTAGCATACTATTCTGTGGGATTTTTTTTCCTTGCTCTTACATTAACGCATTCTCGCCTGCTGCCTACCGGCAAGCAGACATTGAGTGATTCAGTACACCCCCCCCATGTTGGGTTCTTAAATAATTTTAAATGCAGACAACTAAATTGACACCTCACAAAGTCCTATTGCCAGCAATGCAGCCCCAACATTCATATTTGTACTGTGAAGTAAAAAGACATCGATTTCAAGTCTCATGATTGAATTTTGAAAATTATTCACTTTAATCAGTTTTATGTTCTCAAGTTGCAACACTTTTTAAAAATACATCTATAAAAAACACTGAAGAAATTAGAAACTACTCTACTTCTATTATTTGACTTTATTGCCTTCTACAGAAAATGACCAATACTGACTTGGATAAAAATGCTGTGGGTGATTTAAGAATTCCAAATAATTTTGGTATTTGTTTTTAACAGCAGAGACTACAAATGCAATGAACACAAAGACTTAAATTGACAGTATGGTACAATCCCAAAGCAAGGAAAATACAAATGCACTTGTTGAACCAGAGTGCTGTAAGGGCAAATTGCTCACTTTAAGTAACATTCTTGGAATACAACACCAATATGTCGCATTATATGGCTACAAATACTTAAAGAACGTTCTGTTCACTGTACTTCTGCTTTCATTGACCCCGAAACCTACAAATTAGCCATTCAGTCTAAAAATCTTCTGAAACTGGTATACTAGTAGAAAAGATCCAGTTGTTATACCCATATGAAGTAACAACAAATTTGCAACAACAGTACAAATCAGTGAACTACAAAATGCCACAAAAATACCGTGTTTACTTCAGTTTTCAATAAGCAACAATCCTCGTAAAAGGCTTAATGACTTGTTTTTCACAGGTGTATCTGACAAGCTAAACACTTCAAGAGTATTTTTACTGTTACTCTTGAACTTTTTTTTTTTTAAATAAAAACAGTTCTGTTTTGTCATTTTGCAGCCTACAGTATAAACGAAAAAAAGACACATTTTTAACTATACCAGAAGGTGGTGGAACATCTGTCAGTAAAGAATGTACGTCTTCCATTGCATCTGTATCATCAATCTGGAAACAGGAATAATTGGTAAAAATCATGTTGCTGTTCCAGTCAGAAGTCTCAGAAAGATGTAAAAACTTTGTCATCATGAGATCTATATCTGGCAGCTAAGTTGAGATTTTAAAAAAGGATTCCATCAACCAGACCTCTAGAATCTTAACTAGCAACCTATGATATGCTTAACACTTGAAAAATAGTTCCCTTAATTAAATTGGATTAAAAATAAAGCAATGTGCACAGAACACACAGAAACTGCAGTAGATAAAACAAGAATGATAAACAAAAATTTTTAAAACAACTTAAAATGCTGAACAAGGTTCCACACAACAACTTACAACTTTTTCCAGTTAAGGACCTTTGGCTACTACGGCTCTCTTAAGGTGTATTATACTGATGAGATCATTCTCTGCCTATTCCAATAACATAAAAATCTTCCCAGGACTTTAAAAACCTTGCTTAATATGAACAGCAGAAAATCAAATAGGAAAAGGTAAATTTGGGCATTATTAGTTTTTCCTATCCAAATAACCTCTACTCCATCCAATCTTTAACGACTTCTGTTATTGTAGATCAGACTGAGAGCATGTCTGCCCTGCTACCTTCTAAATATTTCTGTCATGTGTCTTTAGGTTCATTCTGCCTTACTGCTCTGCAAGAGATCCAAGTTTACCTCTAACTTCCAACATTTTCTTATCAAGTATTTTGGAAATTGTTTATATTTTAACTCCAGTATTACAGGGTTCTCTGTCAGGTATTGTTCTCCTTCTCCCTCTCAAAGTAAGAGGGGTTGTCTTTCTTTTTTCCCCCTCCAAAAAAAATACAGCCAGCCTTACTTCTCTCGTAATTGCCTTCCCAGCATCTCTTAGCATTTCCTCATCACAGTGAATTTTTTACCAGTTTTTCTCACATATCTCCAGTGAACAATGATTTTACTCTTGAAAGGTCAGAGTCAGGAGCTTCACTAAAGCTCCGAGAATATTGTTTCTGATACCCAATTTCTTAACAAAGACAGTAGTAAGTGGATCCACAGATGAAAAGTCCTTTTTTCTATAAAGATTGAACTACCAAAACTCAGGGACACATATTCTAGGACCAATACATTCACATAATGTAAACCAGTAAATGTTGGTCTTTAACCATCAGATCTTATTTTTCTCGCTAACTTTAGCACTGTTTATAATGTACTCTGTAGTACACTACAGTGTACTTACATTCTTCCCCTCCACATGGAGATCTCCTCCTACACCCCCAAGTGCATATACTACAGTTAATAAATAAGGTAGAAGGAAGAATTCTCCAAAACTGTAAAAAAAAAAAAAAAGCTGAACTCTGCTTGCAGTATATAATGCAGTCCTTAACCAGCTGATCTTTGCTTATAACGTATCAAGCTTCTTTAAGAGGCAACTGCACAGAAGTATGCCAAGCTTTTATTATTGCTCTCTCTCTTCTATTTGACAGCCTTTAGAAGTGAAACAGAGGCTGGGCTTATGTTTTTCCAGTATTTTTCATAACTTGTCCAAAGGGTCTCTTGCAATGTAACAGTCTTTGGGTTCGTGGTTTTTTATGCCTTACACAATCCTCTATTTTTTACAAAGACATTCGACCCTTTTTGCATTTATCAAAGTCTTTTCTGATTGGCTCATCCATTTCAATACAGTGCCTGAGAGCGCATCTATCATGACTTTTGTTTTGAGGATACAATTCCAATCCTGTCAGTCTACACAGACAATGATACTAAAACAAAAACAAAAACCTGTTAAGACCAGCTGCAAAAAATACCTGATGAAAACTGACCTCGTTTCTTTTTAATGTGAGAGTTAGCTAGCATCAAAGTTACTTTTAGGGACTTCCCAATTTACTTACTTTGACCCTAGTATACCCGTAATGCACTGGAGAGCAAAAATTTACTCAAAGAGCAGAAGCACCAACCAATCTCGATTTATTATATCAACCTCTCCCAACCTGTTATTTTTTTCACTCTCCTTTCTTACCTCTGTTTTCAAATGAACTGCTGTTACAGCGCTCTCTCATTCTCCCTATCTACAACCTTTCTTCTACATTATTTTCCATGAAGACAGTGATTTGTGAAGAATAACAAAAAGGAAAGTCTTGAATGTACCTTAGGCTGCAATTAGAGGCTGTAATTTAATTAAATTGTTTTCTTTTTCTTAGTCTAGGACAGGTATTTGTAATAGCTGTATCTACAAGATGATCAAAACTCTAGCCTTTTTTAGTACTTGGCTCCTTCGTTCAAAACTGTACAGTGTTAAAATCACATCTTTGAATTTTAGTGAATAGAGAGCTAAAAGAGATCTAGGTTCTTTACAGGTGTTTTTCTTGATTCTAGCTGTAGCTGTAGAAAGAATTGGAAGGTATTCTCTGAAGTTGTAAATTCTTGAACTCTGAAAAGCATCAGCTGAAATTCAGAAAAGCAAGTCTTCTTTTACATGCTCTCAATACATGTGGTTTTTTGAATGCTTTGAATACTACCAGTTCTGGAAGCTAGTCATTTTGAATATCCAACTATAACAATAAAAGCTTTGAAATGGAAAGAATATACAAGCCTTTTCTTTGCTAAATATAAAGTGTGACAACACAGAACCTCAATGTTTATAAAAATATATCTAAGTTTTGGATCAGTCATGACTGCTATTTGAAGTAGGCAGAAGGGCACTTCTTAATAGCTCTTAGTTATAATTCTAGATATTGCTACATGTTCATGAATAGCAGTGCAATCTTTTTTCAGATATTGTCCCTAGGCATAATATAGTTATGCTTTAAGCAAATAGAGTAAGAAAAAGAGAGACAATGCAAAATCCAATACTTAACATTTTCTACTGATACAAAATGGAAAAATTTATACACAATGTAAGAACTGTCTTTGGAGATGAGTAAGAAAACTTCTCTCTGGTTTTTTATACACATTTCAGGAGAAGAGAAGTATGAAAATAAGTACTGAAAACATTTATCACCTCCAAGACAAAAGCATCCTTTTTCCCATGTGAAAGATCTAGCTCTGTAACTTCATCAGAGCTTTCTGATTGAGATCTTAATAACCTGGAACGTTGTCTTGGCTCTGGAATGGGAGACCCAATGATTTCTTCAGGTAGCTCCTAAAAAGGACATAAAAATTAACAGCTGTTCTATGTAGCTTAGAAATAATTTCAATTATAAGCAATTTGTTAACAGTTCTAAGAATCAGAACATTCTGAAAATAATTTTACTGAGAAATAAATCTAAGAAAGTACAAACTGATTTGAATATGTGGCTTAAGAGATCTGAAAATTCCAGTAGGTTCCCACAATATAGTGAAAAGAATCTATATCTCTATTAAAAAACAACTTATGTTCCAAATGAATCAGTCAGTAAGAATTCATGGATATACATGGCATATATCTGTTTGACTCAGAATGCGTTATTTTTAAGAATATAAAAGCTTTACTTACTGGAGGATTAATCTCGTAAAGTTCCTTGTTTTTTGCTATCGTATCATTTATTTTCTTTTGCATGTGAGATATATGCTGCTCATAGGTGCCATCATTTGGAGTCTTCCCAGCAATCTGAATACCACCAGGTGTTGGCAAAGCTGCTAGATACACACCTGTTGCAGACTTTTAAAAAGTCATTAAGAAAAATGACAATTACATAAGCAGGTATTTCTAATATTTTCATATAAAGTTTTCCATAATGCTTATGCTATAATGGACAGCATTGTGACATATACATTACAGCATGATCTCTTCCCATAATAAATGGATCTCTCTCTCCTGTTCACTTATTAAAACAACCACTAATTCTTTTAATAAACTCTCTCCTTCTCATGGGTCTTTTCCATGGTGGAGCTCTTAACTTACCTAAAAGGTCCAAACAAAATACGAATTAAAACCTCTGCCCTAGTATATTTTGCAAGGTGTATCTGACAAGCTAAACACTTCAAGAATATTATTACTGTTACTCTTAGGCAAGAGATGGTTTCAAGGATTTAAAACTTGGCCAAACCATTTACAGTATCACTGAAGTTGTGACAATCCCATTTCTATTTACAGAAAACAGATCATCAGTTCAGACAAAAGAACATGCAAGCCAGTCAATATTACCCAAGCATCCTCTTACACTGATGCAGGAAGAAGCAGCATATTTCACTATTCTAACCTCACATGACAGAACGAGGTTAGAAAATATTGTTAATAAACATTTCTTGACTATCTCTAAGACACTTCCAATCTATCATTTGTTTCTTCAGTGCCATCAAAGAAGAGGCAACAGACCTTTCTTGTTGGCAACTAACCAAAAGATTTATTAGGAGACTTAATTGACCTTATTTGTCATGGAACTGTAATGCAACTTGAGGAACAGGGATCTCTTTGACAGGACTTTTAAAGAAGAACACAATCATTTTTCTACAATTTATGCCATTAAACAATTTAAAGTTTCTTTTCCTCTCATCTTCTTTCTAATAATCTCGTCTTCCTAACAGAGTTTCAAGAGATTCAAATCTTCTTTTTCTGGTGCTGAAAAACAGTCTATCCTGATTTGTCAACAATTAGCCACCTAAATTCTTTCCACCACTTCATTTATTCTTAAAATGACATTTTAATATACCTAGTTACTCTGAATTCCACAACACTTGTATGTCTTTGTGTCCTGAAAAAGTACTGTAAGAAAGCAAAAGAATCCCAAGATTAAAACTGTACTTACTGCCAACCCCATTAGCATATTTTCACCCACAGTGATCTGAATTCTCAGCCCAAATAAAGCATTCATTCCTCTCAGCTTAAGTTTATTCATCAGTTGGGTGTGCACTTCATATTCCATAAATGGCAAGAGATTACTGATAGATGTCGCATTTGCTTCAGCTTGAGCTTTCTTCTTCAGACGGCATAACCTGACAATACGAAACAGTACATGACATCAGCAGATAAACAGTTTTAATGGACTGTTGAAGACTGAAAGTGATCACAGGGTATTTTGATTTTTTTCCCTCATTGTGTAACCTAATATAAACAGTTTCTTTTTAATGTATTTTAAAATCCTGTAAAATATTAAGTTCTCATCAGGAAGATCAAGGCAGACTGAGGCACTGAGTCTCAATAAGTAAGATTTGATTTTCATTTTTAATAGGAAACTGTGTATTTATATTAATAAAAACGAGTAACATAAAAAGTAAACTTATGAAACAGAACAATACATAACCTTCAGCAACATTAAAAAATATTCCCTATCAAAGCAGAATACAAAAATTACAAATACTGTATTTTTGCAAATCACTGAATGAAGTAATGTTTCCTTTCTTAAAACATGCTTAAGGACTGTTATTAGACAGAAACAACATGCATCACACAGGGTTTTTGTCATAATAGTCTGACAGCACCAAATAACTATGCAACGTAAAGAAGTTTTCTACAGATTCCAGATAACCAGCTACTAGATGTTTGGCTAAATATATTAATACTCCCATGATACAGCAGCAACTCTTAAAAAATTGCCCTGCTCACTTTTGTCAAAGCAAATACTGAAGACAAACACAACTTCTCTGCTATTGCGAGTTGCCTGGTATTTGTTAAATACGCCCCCACAAAAATAGATTATTTCAAGGGACAGTTACTGCAGCCCATTTCAATTGAGCCTCAGAACTGATGAGTTGTATTCTTCTAGATTGCTGCAACTGTAAAATAAAATGTCAGTTCTTTACAAGAACTCCTTGAGACTATCTTATTTGAAAATTTGTATTTTCAGCTTTTCTTCTAGTAAGACCCCAAATGCAACCACCTATTTCTGTTGCTGCAAACCTCTTAAACAGTTCAGGTACAAGCATAGGAAATTATATCTACTGGTAGAACTTTTAAAATTCCTATTAATAAAGTTATTCAAGGCACACTTTGGAATAAAGAAAAAACGGAGTGCCCTCACAGCTCAAGCATAACCAGACTAAAAATACTTATCTTAGAAGAATAAAAGAAAAAGCATAGAAATTCCATCTCTGACTATATTATGTTAGTCATATTCCACTCTTTGGGTTTAGTCCCATAAGCTGAAATTCAAACCCTACACCAGGGGGGTCCTCTCTCCAGACTGAACAAGTCCAGCGCCCACAGCTTCTCTTCATAGGGCAGGTGCTCCTTACTCCCTTGGTGGCCCTCCACTGAACTTGCTCTAGTTTTCTGATGTCTGTCTTACTGTCAGAGGAGGACAAAACTGGACAGGTATCATATTGTCTGGTCCCACTCATTGTGGTGTAACTGGCAAACTTGAAGAGAATGCAGTCCATCATCCCCTCCACATCATTAAGATGTTCAGCAGGACAGGTCCCACTGCAGACTCTATTATACTTGTCATGGCCATCCAGGTAGGTTACCAACCATAAACCACTACCCTCTCAGCCCCACCATCCAGCCAGTTATTTATCCATGTAGTTGGCCACCCATACAGACTGTACGTAGCTAACCCTTCCTTCTTTACCTTTTATTCCCTTTTCCAAATTCAAATTCAAAGACCATAAACTGGACATAGCCAACAATTCTACAGAGATGATGTTCAGTTACGGACATCAGCACAGAATTAACACAACTGACTTAAACAGTTCATTGAGTTTCCACTGCAATAGCTGTATCTGACCACGTCAGTAGACCCAAACAGTAAGTTAAAGCATGAAAACTCTTGCATCCAGGCAGACAAAATATAGCAATTGCCATAGGCAATTTAAAAAAAAAAACAAACAGAACATTTACCCAATGTCCATCAATATGGGTAAGTTAGCAGATGTCTATCAACAGACATGACACGTAACAAAGGGAGGAGAAGGCTGTCGTCCTCCTGTACCCTGATACACTGTCATTAACTCTTAGCAATTCAACATAAAAATTTAAGGTTTGATGACATACTGGATTTTAGCAACAGGAATTCTTTCAAAGATCTCCAAAACCTTACTAAGGAAACATTTTGACAGATACCTGGCTTGAATAAGACATCCCTTCCCAATAACTATTGCCTCTACAGGAAGATCAATTGTGGTGAAAAGGACGTCAGGAACTTTTTGCTTCCTGCAGTTGTAACAGTAAGTGAGGTGAGCAGGGAATGGCATGTTCAATTCATCATATGGTATATGGCAAAATCCACAACCTGGTGGTGAAGCTTCTTCAATCCTAAAAATACATTATGGAGAACATACTTAAAACATCTGCATCTTATTAACAATGATCAATACATGCACATATGTATAAACACCTACAGATACCTACTTAAATCATACGCTGCAGCTATAGTCTGCTCCATCACATCAATGTGACAAGTATTGCATTTTATGAATTAGAAGAATAAAATCAGGCTGCACACTACTAGCTAAAATGCTATAAATAAAACTTGCATTGAAACTTGGTATGAAGGATTCAAGAAAACGTAAATACAATGACCAACGATTTATATAAACCTAAAACATTACTGAGCTGGCTTTAGGCATTATGATTTCTAAATGTAGTCCATGGTACAACAGTTGTACAGAGAATGGGCTGTACCAAATACAAAGAAAAGTCTCTTTTACATGGGTTGTGTCCAAAAACCTCACAAACCTAATGAGCAGAACATAAATAACAAACCAACTATCCTACTGAGAAGCAGCACAATATATATTAACATTGTAAGAAGAATAGTAAGATTATTTCCTAAGATAAGGTATTAGGTAAAACTTGTTATTCACTTAGAACACTTAGTCCCACTCGCCCGTAAGAAATATCCAGGAATGACCACTATAAAAATACGAACAAGGAAAGCATAGGCTAACTGGATCACTGCAAATTTATTCTGTTTCACATAAACAATTCTTCTCAGTGAATTTTAAAGAGATGCTTAAGCAAATCTGACAGGTTTGGAACATTAGTTATCATAGACTTTGGCAAATACATTTTGTCTCAAACATGGGCTTTGTTTGCTTAGTTGTTGTACCTTCCTTTGGCATTTCTAATCTATGCCAAGACTCTTAGTATCACCAAAATACAGATTTTGATAAAAATGCAATTTTCTTCATATTATGAACATGACGTTTCTTTCTCTCCATCATATAGTGAATACAGAAACAAATATTTCTGTTCTGGCTACAGTTTTCAAAAGTCTATCTACACAAGAAGATAATGGCCTCCTGCTAACGAAGTAAAAGAATAATAAATAATACTATGTTAGCAGGGTTATTATGGAAAAAGTAATGCAAGTGCTAAGGTGTAATAAATAGCCTTACTTACGACTACAATAATCCCTTGAAATATTTGATGACTATCCTGACAAACACATAATAAATTACCAATACGCATTAGTTAATCTAATTATTTTTTCCCAAAAATAACTGTTTGTCAATACTTATTCTTCAAATTTTATTTGCAAGAGCAGAAACAAAGGGAAACTTCATGTTTTTCCTTCAGTTTCATGATTTTGTTCATAAACTTATACTAAAACATACATCTTCTGTAAAAATCTGGCACCATCTTTGATTTACAACCAAGCTATTTTATCTCCCATACAGCTCTTAAATAGTATATATAGAGCATATATACACATATCACAGTCACAGCAGTTTTTGGCTTACATAATTTATCATACATCTGTCATTTTTTATAGTGTGATATAAAGTTGGGACAGATACCTGAAGAGCGGCAAAGAAAAAAACGGAGTTATGATCTGTGGTTAGTAGTCAAATGTGTTACCTTATTCAGACTGTTAGAAATAAAAACAGAATATCTAATTTGGTGCAGAGTTCCATTACTTCTGTTGTTGTTGTTGTTAGTGAAAAGCAGTAAAGTGGTTGGTCCCGCATCCTGCACTGTAACACTGTAACCTACCCTAATAGAGAAGAACTATCTTGGCTCTGAGGAAAAAAATCAACCTCTCCCTTCTCTGACCCTATGGAAAAGAAGCCAGGCTGCCATGACAACCTTTGTTCCAAACAGCCTTCCATGATGCCATCCTGAAGAAACCTAGGGTTCAGTACAGCTGCTGTGCCAGACGCGGACAAAATACAGACCTCTTCACTATAAGAGAAAAGAATTACAACAAAGTGAATTCCTACTACTTAGTGCTACTTTTATTTAAAACTTAGATTAAAAGGCTGGTAAAAAAGTCTCAATAAATTCAATATAACTATTAATTTTGTGCATTTGTGCAATTTTATCCATGAAATCTCACAAACAATCCTCTTCTGGTATTTAAACTTACACATTGTATAAGTAAGAGACGCAGAAGGATTGAACAGAAAGACTAAAGAGCTTTGCCCTGTGTTATAAATAATAGGCTGTAACATCACAAAGGCTACCCAGGTTTAAGTACTGGTTTCAATACTATGGTTAATAATGCAAAGAAATCCAGCCAAACAACAAAAGCAAAGAAACATTAAAAAAAACAAGGCATAATTGTTTACCAAAGTAAAATGGAAGTTGAGAGCTTCATGATCTTATAAACATTCACTCTCAAAGTTACAACACAACACTGACAAGGGTGCTTCTTGGAGGATAAAAAGTAGCAAAACAGTAAAATTTGACTATGAACAACTACAATAATGGTACATTTAGCATGTAAAGTAACTGACCATATTCATGATTTAGCAGAGTTAAAGCTCTCAGAGGTGCAAACTATGATCACGTAGCTTTTAATATTTCTTAAATTGTTAAATAAGAAACAGATCTCTAACATTCAGTACTTAAAATACTATATTGGAAAAAATACGGAGAAAAGCTTTCCCACGTTTTCTAGAATGATAGATGAGCCTTTTTTATTTCTTGTTTCTCTTTCCAGAATAATTTTTCATATATAGCACGTCTGGCAGACCAGTACTTACAGACAGAGCCTTGCCCTTTAAGCATGGAATAAAACTGAACTGGCAAGTAAGCATGGGAACTCTAATGAACTATTTTATCAATGATCAAATACTACCGCATTAAATTCCATAAGAAAAATGAAAGCGTGAAATAACCCAGTAACTGATTGCCTATCTATACTCTGTACATTCTTTCGCCATAGTTAAGGTAGAAAGAAGTACAAAATATTCATGCTTTTTACAAGGAGACTGACAGCCAAGGGAATAAATCTTCCATTTTCAGTGTAAGTTCATCCCTCAGTGATGGAAACTTGCACATTCCAATTCTGAGGTAAACATGATCTTTAATACACCAAGCAAGACAGGACATAACCAGACAAGACAGCATAAGGAATACAAACCATGCCTTGCCTGTAAAGTAGTTCTCCTGTTTTCCTACTCTACTAGCACAAGCACTTGACTTCCAAAAATTGTTTTCAAGTTTTGTGAAAGATCAATATATTTGGTGGGGTTTTTTTAACCTGCAGTGAAGCAATAAATGTGAAGGAGCAACAGATGTGAAGTAATCAATGCTGTGGCTTTCAGACTGATCATTTCTGGTTATCTTACTACTTTACCAACAGACGGTGTGCACTCAATTAAAGCACTGTATAACTCCCTATTTCTTTCTTCAACTTATCAATTGCAAAATAAAACGAAACTTCTTTTTCCAACTTCTCTCTTTAAAAAAGCAAATTCTTAGTGCTTTTTCTTCAAAGTATTTAGGCAAAATCAACTTAACAGAAAACAAATTCAGATGTCTGAGTTTGCTTCAGTTACTTTCTTTAAGTAATTCAAAACAACTAGTGAGCCAGAGCACTTTTCTGTTTGACAGAAAATCAGACATACTTGGCCCCAGGAGGAGCTCTTCATAGATTACTCTCCAGAGCTAGAAAGAGACACAACCTTTCCTGGGCCAGAGAGGACGACAAATAATTAGATGAATCCCAAATTATTTCTCCCAACCTCCAAGCCTCTCACAAAGTTTGTTATTAAGCCACCAAAATACACAAGATTGGAATTTTCTTAGCCAAAGGGAATACAGTAAGAGACCGGAGTTTTGGCCTGAACACGATACAGGGCTGGGGAATTCAACCTCAGAAAGACTACTGCAGAGCTGCAGTTTAATATGTTAAAACACTACTGAAGTACAGAAAGATAAAAATAATGACATGCATTTTCCAGAAAGAAATACAGAACGTTTACACCTAAAGTATTTGAGATCTATCAGGCAGCATATTCTCCTTTAACTTAGAGTTAATACATTCCTAGTAAAGAATTTGTGACTTAAGTTTGAAGTTTAGCATTTAAGTACTGGTCTGCCAGTTGTCACCCAATAATGAAACTGCAATACATACACTTTTAGGAACAGTCTTAACTATTTAGGTAGATTAGGTTTAGAAAACTTCATAGATAAATTAATACTGTTACTACAAAAGCAAACATGAAAATTTTTTTAAAAAGAAAAACTGCAATGTTCATTAGAAAAAACTTAAAACCCAATAAAAACCCAACCCAAAACATATTTCAAAAAAAAAAGCAGCACAACAGTGAAATCTCAGAAAGTTACTTTAACAAACTCTCCGAAGTAGGCATACTAGACAGTACCAACAACAGTGTTGAAATAGTTCATAATTTTTAATCCACTGAAGATGAAATAAATTTTCTGTGGCATTTTGAAAATCAAATCATCATCATGATTTACCAAATGCTAGTTGATTCACTGTAGCCCACTACAGCATGACAACCCAATGCCTTGGCATGGGATTTTATTTCTTGTCTGATTTCTGCCCACCATGCATCTCGTGTCTCTGGTTCATCTGAAAGACAAAGTATAAATCAGTTCACTATTCTGCACCATGCTAACATAAAGCTTCATGCAATTAATCTGAAAAGTCAAATTTTTCATATTCAAGTGTTTTGTTGTACTGGACACTTTTTATTTCCTAGCTATCGCACTCCAAGCAAACACTAACGGGGCTTTTTCATTAATTTTCTTGTTTATCACCCATGTGAACAGGTTCTGACAAATTACTGCATTCTTGTTGTTGTCCATATGACAGGTAACACCAAAATACTGTAGATACTGTTCCAATCTCTACCCACTTGAAGACCATACTGTCAGTTTTCAACAACACGAGAGCAGCATGTAACTTGCAACAAAGCATCACAGATACTCTGTAATATTGAAAAACTAGTAGTAGTAGTAGTAATGAAACAGTATTTGTAGTAATAAAACAATATTTTACTTCGGTATACACTTGACATCTTTGAAATAACCTCAATAGTTTTTCCTACTGCAAGCAGTTCTCTCTGTTAACCAGATTTTAAACATATTTGTTCAAGACTGTATCACTAATCAAACACACAGCTCTGTGGTCCTCATTTCAGCACTTCTAACTTTGAGAAGCCACAGGTATTTGAAACTACTTCTACATTAACATTAAGAAGTACAAGACGTATGTTGACTATGTATTTGTCAATGCTTCTTTGCTTCAGTAATCTGACAACTGCACCTTTTTTCTACCCACCCCCTCCATGGATTCTAATTACCTTTATTGTCTTTGAGGTTATATGTTAAAATGTATCCTACCTGCTTTTCTTGAATATTACGTTAAAAATGCAGAAAAGAGTGCTACTAGAGTAAGTTTATGCAATCCATTTATTTTAACTGTTCAGCAACTAGTTTCCCAGAAATAAAGCTCGCCTCACAAGCTTTTTACATATGAAGTAAACAAGTGTTGTCATTTACAATTAGACTTTGTCAACTGTTTCTTTTTTTCAAAATGGCTTACCTGTACCAATGAACTTAGTTGAAAACTATATTAACTGTTGATACATAAAATAAGGTGGAAAACCAATAACAAGCAATAGGCACTCAGATGCTACAAACAGTTCTGAGTAGGTAAGATTCTTATACAATTCCCCTGAAATCAGCTGAACTTTGCACAGGTTCAAACTTCTAGCCATTGAGATCTCCTTGCTGAATTGTAATTTAAAATATCAATGTCAAAACCTGAGATTCATTTGGAACCAATTTTGTACTATCAGGAATATTTATAAATTTAGTGTATGATAACTCTGTATCATACACTAGGTTCTCAGACAACATGACAAACAAAAATGAAAAATGCAGATATACGCATATTTTGAAAGTTGCTGAAACAAAAATATTGTACGGCAAGATGTATTGAATTTACTTCAACTTTTCATTTAGAACTAGGCTTTCAGCTTTCTAAAATAAACTAATGATCATTTTCTAATTAAAAAAAAAAAGAGCACAAAGGTATGTATATTCAACTATACCTAACTTTGGATGTTAATGCTTGTGTAACTCATAGCACTGTACTAACAGCAGCCTTGGATGTGCAGACTGGAGTTTATGCCACCTTTGCTTTAAAGAAATGAACACTGAACAGAAAAAAAAACCTGCAGTGATAGTTCTTATGAAGGTTCTCCGCAATCAAGACAAAATATACACATTAAGACACAAAACAAACCAAGGATTTTCATGAACTGTATCAATCATGTTCCATTATATCCGAGTTTACCTTCAGCAGGTTTCAATGGATTACTAGTACAATCTCGAGGCACTGCACTTCGCTGTTTCTCAATGTGGAAACACTGTTTAAACACTTTCACTGACTGGGAAAATCAAATGCTCGAGATGATGCACAGTAATCGTGACTCTGATGGCTGGAGTACCTGCTAGCAAGGTTTCACACTTCTCAGCTTTCAAAAGCTGAGAATGATGCAGAAATAACCCACTACATCATAGGGCTGGAGTTCCCAAGCTCAGCCATGAGAACCATTTGTGGTACACATAAAGGAAAGTGGGAGGCAAAATGTCTTCTCTTTTCTGTGTGCACCTCTATCTGAGCAGAGGCTGTGATTGCTGCCACCAGTTAATGGCACTAGTGGTAGGTGAACGGACCAACTTTGGAAATCCATTTTAAGGCAAAGGCTACATCATCTGACAAAACGGAGAGCTGTATAGGAGACCACAAGCACATTCTGTAAATGTTATCACTAACTCTTCATGGTGGAAGGGACACGGATCTTGGGAGCAATTCCTCCTTCCCCATCCAATCACGGACACGAAGATTGCTTATCAATGTGTGTTTTTCTCTATAACATAAAAGTGTAAGTAGTTGGAAAAGTGGTTCACTGACTATGCAGAACAATTTTTGCTCAGTTAGACTTGATCACAGGCAGCTGGCTATAAACACTGACTGAATAGCCACACAAATTTTTGTACTTCACAGAAAAATACTTGCAAAGGAGAAGTAACCTTTTTCTAGACATAAACAAAGACAAAAAAAGCCAGTTTTACTAAATCATCACTTTTCTCTTCACACCTTTAAGCACCTTTTGGCAAAAACTGCTCCTACTTGTCACCAATGATCTTTCTATGACAAAAAGTGCAAGAAAATTTGAAGTCATGACGAAGGAGTTGAAAGTGAGCAACAGGTGAAGCGACTGGGGATGAACAGGGAAAGTGCTGTGGAATAAACAATAAGATTACAAACAAGAATATGACACTGAAAAGGTATGTATCCATAGTAAAAACTGAAACAGAATGAAATGTTGAAAGGGAACAGATATGCTTAAGGGGAACAGAAAAGGTAGAAATAGTAGTGACGGGTCCCAAACTATATGCAAACATTTAACTTTCCTCCACAAAAATTTATAGTTTAAATTGAGGTTTCGGAACAAGTTCCCAAGAAAGTTAACACAATTTTCTCACCTAACTTATCTACAAGAAAGCCTTATCATAATGGAAAGCACATATTGTTGTAAAGTTGCTAAACACTATGTCTTGCTAAAGCAACATTTAACTCTTTTCTCTGAGAATCTGTTCAACATCAGAATTAACAAAACTGTTAACTACTGTAATATCATGGATCATTTTCAGTCTTTAATTAGAGATAAGAACAATTTTCCAGCCATTGACTTCAGTGTTAACAGGATCAGGCCCAATATCTTTCAAAAAATCCAACAAACTATCATTGCACAAGTTCAAAAATTTCTATACGAGTCATGCATAAACAAGCGTTTGTAAAGAAGACTGGGTCCTCCGCTTAAGACATTTAATTGAGGTTTTTTCTTCTCCAGAAAGAGGCTAAAAATACGAATCAGTATGTTTTTATATAAATACTGTACATTCACCGTTTATAGGAACTTACCTTTGCCTATTAAAACACAAAATGATTGTCTACAATTAAAATCAAACACCATGACATTGCAATAATAAATTGATACAAAACACTGAATGCAGTGCAATGTGTAGCATTCATATTCTTCTGACAAGTATTTTAACAAGCAGCCTTTTTTGACACATGAGCCACACAATTTCACATGGGGATGCCATTGTAGCATTTACAAGTTTAGTAAAGCTAAGGATTTACATAAACAATTAGAGTTAGGGAAGCAGGATGGCATGTGTCCAGTACACTCCGTAAGAGTGTCTGTTGTTGTTTTTTGCTAAGGCAAAAGCTTAAGAACTAAGGGTTTGCAAAGCAGATTCAGCAGACAGTAGCCAGAAACGGTGGGTATTTTGGCGCATGCTTGGATCAGGTGACAGTACAGACTGAAAACTATGGCAGCTCACTGAAATGGTTACAGAAAGTAATGGCCCTGGATTCTAGGTGGAAGCAAAAAGGCAAGCATACATAGCACTCGATCACAAGCTTTTCTAGCAAATCTACCGAGTAGTTTATAGCAAGGTTTATCTACAACTTTAAGCAAAAAAGTTTGCAAAAATTACACTGCTACTATGCGCCCTTTATTGGAAACCAAAGACTGAATATTAAACCTACTTTTATTAATGTTTCAAAATTGGCATGATATTTATAACAAAGTGGAAGCAAAGTACACTGTTTCTAGAGATGAAGACTTGAGAAACAATGTTGTCAACAGTACAGTATTCTACAAAAACTGTGTGAACTCAAAACCTCCTCCAACTGAAACTTTCCAAACTTTATTAAGCAGCTTTAGAAGATATGAACAGCACTGTATTAATTTTGTGCCCTAAGTGTTCTTCAAGTCAGTTCCATCCACCACCAAGGCACCTATCTCTTTCCTTCAAAATATGAGGTCGACTTCTTCTATGAAGCTGTATTGCAGACAGGACAACATCCTGTCCAAATCTTTCACCTGGAGATAACCCTAGACACTATCAATACTTTCTGATTCGTAAGAAGCAACACCTTTCCAAAGTTATTTGCTAGAGGTTCACTTGTACAGGGCCTTTCAAGATTTAGCCAGAATCTGCATTATTCTAGGTCTATACAGATTTTTAAAAACTGAAGAAAAATTAAGAAGATTGGTCTCTTGATTACACAGACCATACTCAAGAGTTATCGTATTAAAGCTGAATCCCTAGACATCCTGAGACAACTACTCTGAAATAGGAACTGTATGATTCATTTCAACCTATTTTAATATTGTATAATTTCATAAATATTTACATTTATCACGTAACATTCTGAAATGAGGAGGACAATCATCCTATGAAAGTTTTCACAATCTACAAATGACTCATTGTTCTGTTGTCTCAAAAATGGCAATGGAGGCACCAATAACATTCTTTCAAATTCAATCTTTGAGTCTTTCACTAGGTAGAGCCATTATCCACACCTTCCTTATCCCCTTATTCTTGTATCTTCTTCATTAAAACCTATTAATCAGCTTATACAGAAAAGTGTTGGAATTTTTGTAGGTTTGTTTGGGGTTTTTTTGTTTGCTTTGGTTTGTTTGTTTGGTGGGGGTTTTTTTGTTTGGTTGTTGTTTGTTTTTTTTTTTTTTTTAAGAGACCTTT